GCTGTGTGAACTGGCTCGCTTTCAGAGGAATGGGAATACTAACTGCCTGGTGAAAGTGGCAATGGCTTCAAAGCGAAGAGGGGAGCATAACTGGAAGAATGAAAACTGGAAGAATGAAGAACTTCAAAGAGAGAGACAGAGAAACTAGCCTCTAGCAGAAAGAATGCAAGTGAAAGTAGATGTTATTGCGGGAGTTTTATTTTTGCTGTCGTTCAGCAAAGCAAACTGTTGCGGAACAGAACCATGTGAGGAAATGAACTAACTGCAAGACAGGCAGGAAAGCAAAAAAGCAAAGCTGAAATTTAATACTGTGATATTTCCTCCAATAAAATTAAATCAAAAGAGACTCATTCATGTGTTTCATCTTCTGTTCAAGACAGAGAATTGACTTTCCTTCCTTGCGTAAATGTGTGTATGTAATATTTCGGGGAGAAATGGAACAAAAATATAAAGTTTTTCTCTTTTAAAATCTCTAATTAAAAAATCCTAATAGATTCTCCTGTTCAAAGCCTTTTGTTCCTTATTGTGAAAGGATGTTGAAAAGGATTGAAAGAAGCAGAAAGATATTTTGGATATATGATTAACATCTACTGGAAGTTTACATCAATATGAAAACATCTTAAGGAAATATAGTAACTTTCACACTAACTTCCATGACAGTATATTTCTGTAATTGACCTTTTTGTTGACATTTTTAAAATAAAAAATCCTCATTTGAGTCATTTGAGCTAGAACCGAGCCTTGAGGATCATTTCTTTCTGGAAATGTTTGCTTATTTTTGAATGCATTTGTGTATGTGTGGAGTTTTCTGACAAAGTACACGTTTCTGAGCCTTGGTAAGTTACTCTAATCGACAGGTGAGTCTCATTGATGTGTCACATAGTTGGTGAAGGTATTTGCTAGCATCCTTTCATGGTTACAAAGGTGAGTTTCAAAGAGTGGTAACATGCTTGCCTTCTGTTTCATACAATTATAAAAATTTCAAATTGACAAAACATTTGTGTCTTAAATGTGTGTGTGTGTGTTTTCATTTTCCTATTGGACGGAAAGGATTGACTTGATTTTCAAGTCAATATTAAACAGAAAATTTCAAAACAGAGATTCCAACTTTTAAAATAGGAATGTCACTACATTGAACTCTACAGTTGACATTGTGGTTACTGTAGGAGTATTTTAACTCTTAGCTCTGATTTGTGTGAGGGAAGGCTTTGTCATGCTTCATACAGATCTTTTTTCATTTTTAATGTTAACCTTGGAGTTGGCGCAAACCCTAGAAAAGAATGAGAGATAAGATGACCCATTTAAGAAAGCTTTTATGCTGTTTACAGAACAAAACCTCCTCTTGTTGAGCCTGGAGTTGTTCATACTTATCACATCTGCTCCCGAGTGGAGGGGCAGCACGAATCTGGCTGAGTCTTGCTTGTACTGTTAAAGCATTGTGGATGACTGGGTGAAGTGGACTTGAGGGGGTGCCTGGAACACTAGAGAGCTGGAAGGAGAGTTTGTGCACTGTATTCATTCTTGAAATAAAGCAGTTTTTCACACAAAGAAAAAGTACATACGGTAGCATCCATGATGATACACTTTCTCTTTAGGAGTTTGTGAAGTTCACTAAATATTACAGGTTTGAAATATTTTTGTATTATATCAGTGCTCTGTAATACAGGGCCCTTTAGATAGAAAGAGTAAATGCCACTTTTGGTGTTGAGAGAGATTTTAAAACGAGAATTTACTGCTATGACTGGTGTGTTTTGGGTCCTAATACAAATCCTGACCCTTTCTTTATTTAGTTTTATATTTTTACTGATATATTTGGAAGCTACAGAGGGAGAGAGTAGGAATGTAAGAGAGAGAGAGAGAGAAAACATTCAGCCACTGATTTACTCCTCAGATGCCCACAAGGACCAGGACTCTGTATTGCCTGAAGCTAGGCACCAGGCCCCATGTGGGCGGCAAGAACAATTATTTGAAGGCTTTCCAGGGTCTGCCTTGGCAGTAATCTGGAATCAAGTGATACAGGTATCTCAATTAGCAACTTGACTACTAAACTAAAAATGCTCACCCCATCCTGACACAAAGAAAAAGCAAAATCCAAATGCTATCTGCCAGAGACAGGAAAAGCAGCCTGGCTTGCATGTAATTACAAAAACAGCTCATTCTAGATGAATATTTGGTAAATTAATCGAGGGAGCAAATGTTTATAAATAGGATCATCATTAAAATCTACATGGTTCATATAAGTGGCAGTGTTTACTTTTGAAGGGTTTATTATGTAGGATTAGCAAGGTCTCGGCTGAAATCAGGGCCCACTGGGTATCAAAGGGAATATTATTGCTCGCATCCTGTTTTTTGTGGGAAGTTATTTTATGTGTGTGTTTGGATAATACCAGAATAGATCTCATAAAAAAGCATCGAAAATAGGAGCCTTTTTTTTTTTTTTACTTAAACATGTTTTTCCCACTGAACGTTTTCAAATCGTTTATATATATCGAATCTCATCTTCAGTAAATAGGCATTAAGGAAATGATACAAAAATTTCATGTGATTTATACTGAAGAAAGCAATATCCACTTATTCACCACAGATGCTCTCTTATTTTAAAGGATAACAGGAAGAAAGTGGAGAAAGGGAAGAAATAGAAGAGATGGGCAGAGTTTCCCTTGATTAGGTAAGGATGCACTTGTTTTAAATTTCATAAGCTCTCCAATCTGTAGACAACAACTTCATTAGAGCAACACATTGTACAGTGATACTTGGTATCAAACCAGTCTGGACTAAAGACTTGAAACAGATAAAGGTAATGATACTCCAATAATAGTTGTGTTCAGTGACAGATGCACAAACATTGGCCAACAGTCATAGCTGAAGTTCGTAACTGCCAAAGCACCAGAAAATCTATGGAGACATTTTCTTTAATAATCTACATAAATTGAACCCAATTCTAAATAGCAAGAAACTTATATACTACCTGAAATTCCTTAATTTTATTGAATCCCATGCAAGTGGTGAGGTAGCCAAAGAAGTAACTAAGCATTTGTCAGAAGGTAAAGCAATAGAAAGGCTAATTAAGATAGTATCATTTATTTTGAGGAATGAACTCCTGGCTTACAGAGTCTTTTTATATGAGTCCTTTAGGGAGGTCTTTGAGATGTATATGTTATTTATGAAATCTCCAAAAGGAAGGATACTTCAATTTATTCCTTTAAAATATTTAGAATGAGAACAGCAGAGTTGCCTAAAAAGAGGCAAGCATTAAACGCTGTTGACCGCTTTCCCAGCGCCTGTGCACTTCCTTCCTTTTCTCAGTCTAGAATGGGTTGTCCTCCTAGACCAAATAAGATGTGCACAGGTGATGTCAGTTTGCCTTCCAAAATATCTTCATCACACTGGAATATCCACCTTGGCTAATTATGTCTGGAAGTGAAGGGACAATCCAGGAAGCACTGGAAGGTTCATCTTTGCACATCTTCTACTCTTATTTTGATTTTCTATACACTTACAAGTGTTTGGAAGACTGGTCATTAACTTAGTAACATTTCCACTTTCCAACCCAAGCTCCTGCCATTGGAAAAGACACATTTCTGCAGAATGGTGATGTCAAGCTCACGCAAGTTCTCTGGTTTTGTGAGGTGAGTGAATAGCCATGTTACAAAGCATGTGTTTTGGATTCTGAGAAGTCCTTCACTTTTCTAGTCCATAAAGTGAACAATGCCAGGGAGGGATGACAAGTGATGCTGGCCATCTCCAAGATCATGTCTGGAGTGATGGTTATAAGACTTCTCATGGTTTGGATCAGAGACAAGTAAACGGATAATAAAATGTCCCATTGTTAATTTAAGTTCTCAACATTATTGTGTGACTGCTACTCTGAGGGCTAACCTCACCTGTCATGTCAAAATGTTCTTTTATTCTAAGACTCTAGTTATACATGTAATATTAATAAATACCTCTTTCTCCCTTCACCATCTGTAATGATGTTTTTCATTGTCAAATATAGGTTGAATACTGCAAACATCTAGGCTCAGTTCTCAGAGAACATTGTCTTGCAATGAATCTGTTTTTCTTTGTTATCTACCCATTTTCTCATTTCCCAGGAATGTTGAATATCAAGAAGTATATCACCATGCAAAAGCCTTATTGTTACTCACTATGTGCCCAAACACAACAGTTTCTCTTAAAATTCTCTTCCAGAATTAAGATACTCTTTGGTTTAACTTAATATTAAATAAACAAATAAAGCAAGGAAGGTTTGGTGAGGACGAGAAGCCATTCAAATCCAGACGTGAGAATTTCCTTTCTTTTGGCTTTCCTTTCATTATCTTCAAAAGAGTAGAAAAAAAAAAATTGTGGGTTGAGCTACCCCTTGTCATAAATCTATGCTGTCTTCATTCATGAGAAAACTTGCTATAACAAGCAGTATGCTCATCACTCTTCTAAACTACCAATCAGTGCCTTTCTGGTACCAATCTGCAATACAAAGAATCTTCAAAAAGTTATTGGAAAATGAATATTATGAAAAACTCCTCATGGATTTCAAAGTTTTTTATGCACCAAAGTCTAGTTATTTTTAAATTCTTTTTCCATAAACTTTTTGAAGTGTCTTCACACGGTGAATAAACAGTGTGATGATTGCACCTTCAACATTCTGAGATAACAGTAGCCTCCTCGTACACCTCTGAGTCTTTAGCACCATGGAATAGGTTCTTCCTACTGGAGAGAGGATGGACCTACAAAGGGAGGCCCATTGCTCACGGTCCTTCTATGGCTCTGTAAATGCATGAATACAGCATTGCCACACTCTAGACAAGAGCAAAGAGGTGGTCTGAATTTGTCCTTCGACGCATGTTAGAGTAGACAGAATTCCAAGTATATATTAGTACAGACGAGTTCTCTGAGCAGCTTCATCACAAGTTCCCCCATCTCTGTGGTTTACCAGAAGTACCAGGTAGTCTTTTGTCTTTTTTGAGGCACTTGTAAAATCTGAATTCCACCTGTGGCCATCACACTTCTGAGCTGTCGTGGTGGTGGCTCTGTGGGGGCATCATGGGCTCTCTGCTGCTGGAGCCCTTTGGGTCTTTCTTCTCCCTGCTGCTCTTCTTTCTCTTGCACATAATCATGGCAATGACAGTGAGACAGATGGTGAGTAATCCTACCCCGATGCCTCCCACGACAGTGAGCAGGTGCACCTCAGAACTTGGACTGTTAAGCTCCCGTGGGAGGACACCATCAGGAGGAACTCTCCCATGGGGGATCTGCCGCTTGTGGGTGCGGTCTAGGGCAATGTGCTGGATGTTTGTTCCCCGGTTGTTACCAGCGCCGATCTCTGAGGCCAGTGACGGAACGCTCTGGATCTCCCTCTTCTTCCTGCCAGTGGGCTTTCCTTGATGCACCAGGGAGTGGTATTGCTTCTCTATACTTCTTTTGCCAATGCCACGATTGGCATTGTCTTTGGATCTTACTGTGTAGATCGTGTGTATGTACCATTCTCGTCCCAGAGCAACCTAAAAAACAAAAACCTTTATTTGTTAGGAAGGGAGAAACCATGGCAACCAAGTTCATGACTATCTCCAATTAATGGCAGAGGTAATCACAAATGTCAAATCAACTTAGCCTGTGTCATGAACTTAGTATATCTGAGTAGGTAACATATGCAAAGTTTTGTAGAAAGCACTCTATGTGTAGTCTGTGTAACTGCTGTGGGAGCAGGTGCCAGTAAATTTCTGGCCCTTCTAGAACATGAATGCTCCAAAGAATCTAGCTTACCTATTAAAAAACATGTATATAAGAACAGATAGCACTCCTGCTTGTAGGTAACTATCTAGGTGGCCTTGTATCTACATAAGCATTACACGGCTGGGGAAAAAAGCAGTCAATAGCTGGCAGGTATTCTGGGCCTGGTTAATGCCAAATATGTGTTAACTATATCATCATCCCAGCACAGTTAAGACAGGCATGGAACTCTGCACACCACACTGCACAGTGACGGGGGTGGGACACCCCCACCCCAGGCATACCATGTGCTGCTGAGTGGTGGGGGGTGGTGTGGGGTGGGGCTGCAGACTGCTTGGGGACAGGGACCGGGGGATGTGTAGGAGAGGTGGATGCCAAAAGCATGTTTGACAGGTGAAGAATGACCTCTTGGGGGCTTCCACAGACCAGGCAATTGCGCTCTCAGGCAGGCAAGTAAGGTGATACAAGGTAATGTAGGGTGGGAAAGCTGGAGGGCATATCTGGGTTAGACCAAGGTACTTGCTCATGTGTAAGACCTCAGCTGGGCTAGGTAGCATCACCGACTGCCCACGGGCACACACTAAAACTGGGGCTGCTATTAACATAGGATTGCAGATTCCTTTCTCAAAATGTAGATTTCATTTCCTTTAGATATAGTCCCAGACTTGTGACAGCCGGGTCATACGGTAGGTCGATTTCCAGTTCTCTTCGCACTCTCCGTTCTGACTTCCACAGTGGTTGTACTATCCTACACTTCCTCCAGTGGCGAAAGAGGGCAACTTCCTTCCCACATCCATGCCAGGTGTTATTGTTAGGAGAATTCTGAATGTAGGCCAATCTCACTGAAGCAGGTGGAACCTCAATGTGGCTTTCATTTGTATTTCTCTGACAGCTAGGGAGCCTGACCCACCCTAAGCTGAAGCCCATCCTTTCCAACTATGTAAAAAATACTGAAAATAAAATCTAAAATTTAAAATAAAAAATAGAAGAGCATACAGCAGTTTAGTGTTTGGTACAATGCCAACCAAGTTGGTAATGGAACAAGTAGGATTATAGATCAAAAATTTCTGAAGTTTAAGACTTTTCTGGTAAGACTTACTGTTTATTTACATACAAAATCCCAGAAAAGGTCCATTTTCAGGATTTTCCAGGGTCTGGGAAACGAAGGGAGTTTTCTTTTGCTATTTTAAAAAATATTTATTTATTTGAAAAGTCAAAGTAATAGAGAGAAATGGAGGGAACAGAGAAAGAGAGATGTCCCTCCTGCTTGTTCACTCCTCAATGCCTGTAGCAGCTGAACCAGGACAAAGCCAGGAGCTGGAAACTCGTTCTTAGTCTCCCACGTAGGTGGCAGAAATTTAAGTACTTGGGTCATCATCTTTGACATCTCAGACACATTAAAAGGAATTTGGAGACAGTGTGAAACAGCCAGGGCTTGAGCCAGGTACTCAGGTATGGGATGCAGGCATCTCAATGAGGGGCTTAACCCACAGTACCGCAACACTCACCTGGGGGAGTCATTTTTGATGACTCTTTATAATATTCAGGGCATAGAAAACATAGAGGACTCAAAGAGTTAAAGGTAAAAAGAAAAACACCAAATGTTGCACTTAATCTTTCTGTTTGAAAATATTCAAAATAAGAAATATAGTTTAAAGACTGGCATTGCAGCATAGTATGTTAAGCTGCTGCCTCTAATGCCAGTATCCTGCATGAGCACCTGATTGTGTGTCGGCTGTTCCATTTCCAGTCCAGTTCCTACTAATGGTCTGGGAAAGCAGCAGATGGCCCAAGGGCTTGGGCTCCTACGCCCACATAAAAGACCTGGAAGAAGCTCCTGGCTGCTGACTTCACTCTGGCACAGTCCGAGCACTGCAGTCATCTGGGGAATGACTGAGTGGATGAAAGATCTCTCTCTTTCCCTCTCTCTCATCCCCTGGCTCTTTGTCTCTCTGTAATTCTGCCTTTCAAATAAGTAGCATAAATAAAAAAAAAAGAGAGAGAGAGAAAGATACTTTAAAAATATTCCTTCCCTATTTTTAATGAAAAGAACATTTTTCCAGCCCACTGTCTCAGGATAGTTTTCAGCGAGTATCCTAATGTGTTCATTTGCTCCTGCAAGGATTCGCATGTGTGGTGTGGGCTGCTCAGTGTTGTCATGGCTTTCCGTGTCCTCTCTGCTTCTGTATTTTGGGCCAAGGAATTTCTGGCTTGGTTTATCAAATCCTTCTGCTATGCATAATTGCTTCTCTGAAATCCAGCAGTTCATCCACTATCACTCTAAAAAAATCATAAAAAGTCAGTACAAAATTGTAGAAAAAGAACAAATGAACCAACTCTCAGATCTATATGTGTATATATTTAAAAAATAATAACAATAATAGTAGCTAGAGTTTATGCTCTGCTTACTAGGTGTCCAGTCTGGTTCTTTGTGCTTTATGGGCCCTGCTGGATTCAATGTTTTCATGAACTATGTGCAGTTTTACTCTTACTGCCGTTTGTAGACAAGGTGCATGAGGTATAACATTTTGACAAACTAGCTTGTTTTGGCTTACCTGAAAGAGTGGTGCTGAGTCTACTTTAAATCCGTCAGATCCCGGCTGATTCACCAGGAGAATGGCTTCTGGGTCATCCACCGCCAGCTTGGCATTAAACAGGATATTTCCAAAACTGGTAACTTGTGTCTCTGGCTGAGCTTTGTCCTTTAAATAAGAAGGAAAATGATGATTACTGTAGATCATGCAGCTCTTACAAGGGCACCATATTTTCCTCTTAGGCAGCTCCACATGACTGTCAAATGTCACCATGTGGTTTAGTTTCAAATGCTGAGACTGTGTTCATCATCGTACAGAAGGTTTACGCTTGAAAATCAGTCAGGTTCGTGGCTTGGATAAAGACACTCACCACAATTTTAAATCTGTATAAGAGTGAAGGAGAATCGGCTAGGCAGCCATATTCTGCATTCGTTGGACTGTATTTGGGAACATATCCGTCGGCCCCAGTGCATAGGAACACCTTCTCAATGCTGCAGTAGAAGGAGTCGCCTAGATTCTGGACAGGGTCTACCATGACACGGCCGTAGATTACGTCACCTGAAACACACGTGTTATTTCTGCTGTGAGTTATGACACATCAACACGCTGGAAGTAGCAGTGACAACAGCGACACAGACTATTTCTGCTGCTAATTTCTTTCGAATGTTGAAGACCTTTTGGTGTTGGTTTTAAGAATTGCTCTACTCCTAAGCCTAAGAGAAGCTGATCTTGAAAATGGACCATGAGTGATGAAGGACCAGTTGAGTTTCAGGTGCCCAGACACTGTTGGGAATAGTCTCAAGATCTGGGGTTTAAGTTGGTATTTGCAATATTAAATTGTGGGTTCAAATTTGATTTCCACTGCTGAGAAAGAAAGAATCAATAAAAAAGCCAAATTAATCTTATTTTCAAAAAATGAAACCCTCTGCTCCTTCATCATTATTTCATAGCTGTTAAGGCACCTCTGCTACATACGTTGAAGCTTCCTGCTAGGTCCAGAGAGGAGCAATCTGCCCGTGAAAAATTTATGGTCTCATGTAGTTGTAGCATTGGAGTCCACACAAACTTAAAAAAAGACAAAAATCCAAGAAAAAAAAAAACATCCACACTTACTCCAAAAGCTATTCAGGTGAGAGAGAGGATAAAAATTCACAATTAAAAAAATAGCGTCCAATAACATATACCTAATTTCAAGGCTTTTTTATATCTGCCAAAGTGATGCTCAGTTACATCCTCACAGTTGCAAAACCAGTTATGGCTTTTGCTCCTCAAACTCAACCCTATTAAAGGGCAGCATATAAATATGAAAAGCAACTCATTGATGAAGTGATACCTTCGGCAAAGGCGACGTCGCTCTCTTGCCCGAATCCCATGGATCCATCAGACAACCACAGACTCTTCTTGGAGAGCAGGTACATTTGAGTGTTCAAACTAAACTCAGCTGCTACTGGGTCGCTGACCTAAAACCAAGTGTGAAAGTTCTGTTACACACAGTGGATGGTTTTGACGGTACACACACACACACACACACACACACACACACACCATTCATGACACACATATACACTTTACACAAATGTGTGGAAGAATAAATTTATATTCAGTGAAATCAATGTAAGAAACTGCAACATTGGTTTTGTCTTTCTTGAAGAAGTAAAGCTTGTCAGGTAAAATAACTTCAAAGATATATTAAGCACTTGTAAATATCATGATCAATAAAAAGTTGACTTAGGGAAAATTCTTGGAGAAAAGGTGCTATCCTATTTTTAAAAAATGTATAATGGCAGTTAGGAACTTTAAGGGTAGAGATTCTTTTTGATGAGGGACAATACAATGAAGAACAGAAGAATTTCAACAAATATTCCCAAATTCTCAAGGCCTCAAACTTTAGGAAACAACAGCAGATCAGAAAACACCACTTGCATAAACTTAGCAACAGATAAGAGGCCATTCTAGATTGCCAACCTCCCTCCCCCCACCCCACCGCCACTTCCCACAGCTGGCTTTGTTGAGCAGAATTGCAAAATTAACTGTGGTAAGGACAAACTGTTTTTATTGTTCTTTCCTCCTTCCTTGATAAAAGTAAACGGTAACTTTAGCAAATTAGGATTCTACAAGCCACATGATGATAATTCAGTGAGACACACCTGTTGGAATCGAATGTCAAAATCAAAGGTGATTGGCTCTCTGGGATTGCAGGTGATGGGCAGGCGGTATTCCTGGCTGGATGGCGTGGTGCACGGTACCAGCTTTACTGTATAGGTCCCTGAGTAGTCCCGTACCTTGGAGGAGAACAGGAGACATTTAGCATATATTAAAAAAAAATTACGAAGTATAGTCAGTTTGCAGCAGAAAGAAAACCCAAGTCAGACTCTTTGTCACTTACTGCAAAGTCAGAGACAAAACTCCATTGCTGCATGGGTTGATTGTAGGTTGGTTCACTCCTGATGAGGCGCAGAGAGAAGGTCAGACCTGGATGGTCAGCTGACGTGATCATGGAGTTCGTAAAGGACGCTATGGAAGAACCAACCAGAACAAATGGATGCTGCTTATATTTAAAACTGTCTAATGGCTTAGGGTTTTCAAGGTAACCCATTTTACAAAATTTGCTTTTCTTGTTATAGTAAGCCTACTACCGGAATGTGCAGGCTGGTACAGTTACCTCTGTTTTACAGATGAAGAAACTGGATTGAGAGTGATTCTGTCAAGATCACATGGATAGGATGTGTGACCTCTGATAACTCAGTACACTCTTTATTCTATAATGCTGTCAAAATATAACTGCAAAAATGCTCCTACTGTTCAGAGCTCACTTTCAGGGAGTCAGAGCGCTACGATAAAGGCTGATGTGAAAGCATGTATCGTGTACCAGAGCTGCTGAACTTAAAACAGTCTGTTAGCATCTACACAGCTGGGCAAACCCCATTTATGAATGAAATCTAACTTTAATTAGACTGCCTGAAATTGTGGCTGAACAACGATCCAGTGTTCTGGCAAGGTAGACACGTGGTAGGGAACTATAAAGACCAGGAAATCCAGAAGTATCAGTTCTAATAAGGCAAAACAATTTCTTCTGGTTCTCTAGTCCTTGTGTCTCAGTCCCATGGAAAGTACAACCAGCCCTCTCTTTCTTCCTGAATCTTCAGCCCCTTTTCCTTTGTTAGAACTCACACCCTGAAGAGAAATGACACAGAAATAGGGAGTGACAATTTGGCATTCTACTGAAATGCAGAAACCAATTTATTAGCATGGAAAGTCAAACAATAGACTAAATTTAATCAAGTATCCTTGATAATAAAAGCAAAGAAAGTTTGACATGGAGTCTCAGGGGCCATGGCCTCATTGGTATTCAAAGCACAGCCCAGCACAACTTGCCTAGCCAATACTTACTAAACATAATTATAGTTAACATTTGAAATGTAAGTATGAGAGTGAAGTGCAACTTCTGGCTCGATTATAGAAAGGGTTTTCACAGTACCCACAAATGTGCGAATGCAGACATGCTTACTGAATGTGCACCTGAAATTAAATTTTCCTGAACAATGGTAGCAAGCCAGGGAAAGGATTTGTTATCCCCATTCTAGCAATCCAAAGAAAGCCCCACTTAAAATGAACTCTGTAAAGCTGTTCGATCATTTTGCTCTAATTATTTTGCATGTTTTCATAATGATAATTTTATGGGTAATGAGATGAAGTTGAACAATGATAGAGCCTTAAGGGCAATAACTACATATACACACTTGAAGACTTCAAAGCTAATAGGGAACTATGATAAGACCTGTGTGAATGTGGAAAAACCAGATCCTTATTCTGTGTGGGGTGGCTATTAATCCGAATTGTGAGCTCACCTGGATGTGACAGCACAAACAGCCCATGGAACTGAGCCTCTGTCTTGAAGTTCACCGCCAAACGCCCCTCCTCGCCTATGCGCATGCTGGTTGGATAAAGAGAACCTATTTTGGGGAAGACGAACAAGGTGGACATATCGGTGGTTAGAGGCTTCTCATGTATAGATTCATCCCAAAAAGTTAGTTTTGATTTGCATTGTCTGAAGCTATTCTAGGACAATAGTATTACCAGAAGCATTTTGAACAAGACAGGCAGAAGTTCCTTTGCTTTCTTTATAATGAGAAAAGATGTGTAAAAGAGAGGTAAATTGAGTTATGAAATAAAGATATATTGTAATAGGTCAACTTTCATTTTTTACTTTGAAAGTTTTCATCTAGAAGTATAAAACTGTACATTCAGAGATGTGACAAAGGTGTCAAAATTGAGGAGATTTGGACATGGAAGTGGAAATAATGAGTTCTCAAAAAAAAAAAAATAAATAAAGATTCCAAATTCTATAGGTGTATAAAATTTCTGAAACCTTTCCCCCAAACAAAAACACTTTGACAAATTTTGGCTACAGCTGTAAATAAGAAGCCACCAGGCCTTACACAGAAGTTGTAAACACAGACGGCCACAGAGGAAGCTCACGATTCACTTAAATTTATTCCTAAGGCACAGTGTGCAATTAAAAGATGTAAAACGAGCTGGCATTATTATTCAGGATGATGATATCACTCATCGCCTCGCGCTAAGATAATTTTCATTTGTTTAAGACAGTGGATCTATATCAGAGGTGTATGACTAACTTTGTGTTCTGTCTGGCTAGTGAACAGTGCTCTATACAATTACAGCATCAGATCGTAATGTACGCCAGGAAGCAAAAAGCACTAATATTGCTAGTGGATAGCGACCTTTGCGTTCGTGGACTGTGAACATGTGATTCTGACATGGAAATTGGAACAAGGTTTTGCAGATGTTGACGGACCCAATATGGCATTCACTACCAGCCTTCCAGTGTTTTCAACTACAACATCGTAAGTCAATGGAATGCTAAGATGCAAGGAAACATGAGTTTTGCCTCTATTCAGGAGAAATTAAATCCCAGAGAGATTAAGCAACATGCTGGAGATCACACAACCAGTTAGTTTTAGAATCTTAATTCAGGACATAATTTATTTTGGATTGTAAGATGTATCTCTCACTTAAAAAAAAGTTTTTCTCTTGGATTCAGTCCTTATTTTCAATTGGAATTTTCTCTGTGCATTTTGTAGAACCCAGAGATATGCATATTTTATGATGCTTGGCACATATCTGATCAATTATTTAAGATAAACTATAAGGCAAAAATAATCATGAACGTAGAATTTTATTTCACAGCCATGTATTATGCAAAATTTAATGTGCTAATATGATTTTGCTAAACCAGTTTTTCCCATTGCAAAGCTGAAATGCTCATAATATTAGGTAGAAAGACAAAAAGACTGAAAGTCGTTTATATTACTTTTAGCTAAAATAAAAAGGAAGTCCTGTGAAGTAATTTTGACAGGTAAGAAAATTACCATTCCCCAAGTCTGATGAACCCACCTTGTAGCTCAGCCTCTGGTGGGCTGCCAATTCCATCATTCCACAAGATGGCAGTGTCGTACACGAAAGTCAGACGGAGCTCCGACTTGAGGTCGAAATGCTGCCAGCCTCCTACCCCCACAGGTGAATGGAACACATAGGAAACATACAGAGGGACCCGAAGAGTCACGTAGGACTGGACCAGGTTCAGCACCTAAAAAACAGCACAGTTACCAGTACTGCTCCGCATTAGCTAAGTGAGTCTATTAATGTGCAAACCATTTCTCTTTTGACTTAACTGAAGATTTTGAGTGATCGCTGGAGGAAAAAGAATAGCATTTTATACTGTTTCTGATCAGTTAAACAGTTGTAAATATTACCTTCATGCAACAGAGGATTTTTTTTTTAAATCAGAAATCTTTAAGATAAACCATATTATTTGGAGCTGTACCCACGCAGTTCTTTATATGGTATTGCAACTTTATTAAGATACAATGATAATCGTACAACTATTTATATCTAAAACTACATATATAGTTTATATACCAAATAATTCATTTATCTAAAGTGGACAATTCAAGGTTCTTAGCATATTCAAGGAGTTGTGCAACCCTTACTGTAATCAATTTTTAAAAAAATTTATTTATTTTTATTGGAAAGGCAGATTTCAGAGAGAAGAAGAGACAGAGAAAGCTTTTCCATCTGCTGATTCACACCCCAAGAGGCCACACTGGTCAGAACTGAGTTGATCTGACGCCAGGAGATTCTTGTGGGTCTCCCACCCAGGTGTAGGGTCCCAAGGTGTCGGTCCATTCTTTTTTGCCTTCCCAGGTCACAAACAGGGAGCTGTAAGGGAAATAGAGCAGCCGGACAACGAACTGTTGTTCATATGGGATCCTGGTGCATGCAAGGTGAGGGTTTAGCCACGAAGCTATCACACAAGGGTACTCTTGTTACCAATTTTAGAATATCATTTTCACCTCTAAAATTAACTCCATATTCAGTGAGGGGTGTATGGGGGGGAGGCATAAAAATTGAACTCCATACGCATTAGCAGTCACCACCACCTCCCAATTTTCCCCAATCTTTAGGAACTACTCTGTGTGTTTGTATATTCTTGATATTTTGTGGCATTAGCATGACAAACATGAATTTTTTATGATGGAATATTTCAGTTGACATATTTTTAATGGTTATACAAGTTATATTATGCTTAAATATCTTCCTCTCATTTTACTACTGACTGAACAGCAACCATTGCCTGAGCATATTATATTTAAGTTATGTACTTATAAGTTGATGGATTTTTGAGTTGTTTCTAATTTTTGATTATTATGAAAAAATGTTTGTTACTTTTTATTATATAGAGGAAGATGAAAATAAGAGGAACGCTACAAAACAAGCATGTTCAGTAATGACTTGTAACATTTAAGTCTCAGGAATTACTAGTTACAGCTAAGTGTCTTATCTTGTATTTCATATATTCCTTCTTTAGTTATTCATTCATTGGGGTAGTGGAGGATAAACCAATATGTATTTACTGAACAATGATCACATTTCAGATATTTTGCTAGGTTATTAATAAAACATTTAATATTTTAACTCTCCTATAAAATTATACTTACAGGTCCAAGAGTGGTTCACAAGATTCATGGAAAAATAAATTAAAATTTTTCAAAATTCATGCATAATTTTTTCATAATGAAATATTTTTTTCCATAAACTTTTTATAGACCTCACCTTTGTTTTTGTGCACCTACATCTTTTAACCTTTTTAAAATAAAGATTTATTTCCTTTTATTGAGAAGGCAGATTTATTGAGAGACAGGAAAAGATTCTGCCATCTACTGGTTTACTTTCAAAATGGCTTTATTGGCCGGAGCTGAGCTGATCTGAAGTCAGGAGCCTTTTGCAGGTCTCCCACTTAGGTATGGGGTCCCAAGGATTTGGGTCATCCTCCATTCCTTTCCCAGGCCATAAACAGGGAGCGAGATTGGAAGTGGAGCCCATACAAGCTGGCACTTGCAGATAGAGGATTAGTTTGTTGAGCTACTGTGTCAGCCCCCATCTTCTATCTTTTAATCCCATTTTCTACCCTGCCTTGCAGGATCCAAGGTCACCGGAACAACACTGAGCGGTCCGCAGAAACAGAACAGTAAACTTCCTTCGGGACTAGGGAGAGGAGCTTTCTCTGGTTCTTGCCTGGTTCCGACTTTGGGTCCCTACCCTCTCTTGTAATGACCAGCATTACATATGGACAACTGTCAAAATCCTGGCTACTCCAGTTCTGATCCAGCTTCTCGCTAAAGTGCCTGGGAAAGCAGTAGAGGATGGCTCACCTGCACCCACATAGGACACTTGTATGGAGTTCCTGGCTTCAGACCAGCCCAGCTCTGGCTGCTGTAGCTATTTGGGAAGTGAACCAGTTTCTGCCTCTCTGTCTGTAGCTTTGCTTTTAAGTAAATAAGATAACTATTTTTAAAAAGATTTATTTATTTTTGTTGGAAAGTCTGATACACAGAAAGGAGGAGACACCGAGAGGAACATGTTCTATCTGCTGATTCACTCCCCAAGAGACTGTAATGCTGGAGCTGCGCCAATCTGAAGACGAGCCATGAATCCTCTCTAGGTCTCTCATGCGGGTGCAGGGTCCCAAGGCTTTGGGTCATCCATCCTCTACTGCATTTCCAGGCCAGAAGCAGGGAAAAACTGGCAGGTTTAGAACGGGTGCCCATATGGGATCCTGGTGCGTTCAAGGTGAGGACTTTGACCACTAGGTTACAGTGCTAGGCCCATAAGATATCTATTTTTAAACAGATCATGTATTTTGTGAATTTTCTCTGGGATGAGTTTTGGCTCACTGCTTAAGATGCCAATTGGAATGCCTACATCCCAGACCAGAGTGCTTGGGTATGAGTCCTGGCTCCACTTTGGCTCCAGCTTCCTGCTAAGATGAAGTGTAAGATGCAGGAGATGATGGATGTTCCGAGTACTCAAATACCTGCCAGTCATCCGGGAGACTTGACTGAGCACCTGGGTCCTGGCTCCCGCCTGGCCCAGCTCAGGCTGCTGTGGACATCTGGACGAGTGAGCCAGTGACTGGAAGATCTGTCTCTGCTTGCCTCTCTCTCTCTGCCTTTCAGATAAGATGGACCAATTGTTCCTAGCCAAGAAAAATGGCCAAATGTGAAGTTAAAAAGCACTAAGCAAAAATTTTAAATTGTACTGTACCACTACTCCTGGAATGACTCACAAGAGTGAGAAAATGTGCGTACAGTGACAGTGGGATAATGAGTAACCTGCTTTTTTTTTTTTTCACGCTGATTTAGTTCTTCTGAATACCACAGTGATGTTATCTTTATTTTTTAAAAAAGCAAAAAAGTCTCTTGGTAAATTTGACAAAATAAGAAGCAACATATTTCAAATACTGGATTCATTTCACTATTTCTTGCAGAGCGATTCTGAGCAGCTTAATTTAAAAGCAAATCCGTGTAGTAAGTTTAAGATAATGACATCTAAAGTATATTCTACACTCAAATTTCCATGTTTCTAAGCAAACAATTGTAAAAAGAGGGCATTTTTCTCCTCAAAGCACATTGAAAATAACAAAACATTTGTTTACTTTTGCGAAATCATACAGTGCCTTCTCACAAACACACAGTCATTTCGTGTTTGATCAATCTTTTGAGTTCTCACTATTGACTCCTGGGATTGATATTAGCAGAAAGCGAGGGTCAGGAGCCAGGGTTGGGAATAGAACCCAGCCCATCCACTGTGGGGTGCAGGCATCTTCATCTGCTTCATCAGCACCAGTCGTGATGTCTGCCCCGTAATTTCCTGTGTCAAGTGAAACCTGCAACTGGGGCTGCACTGCTGCAGTCTATCAGCTGCTGTTTACTTATCAAAATGAGAAGATTCTGACATTGTAATACAGCTAATGAGGGTGATAAAATTGAAAAGCTGCTATGAACTGCAAGCTTTTTTTTCTTTATAAAATATTTGTTCATTTTTATTTGAAAGCAGATGAGATGCAGAGACATCTTCCATCTGTTGATTTAGCCTTGAAATGATTGCAATGGCAGGAGCTGAGCTGATTCAAAGCCAGGAGCCTGGAGACTCTTCTGGGACTCCCATATGAGTGTAGGGGCCCAGGGACTTAGGCCATCCTCGACTGTGTTCCCAGGCCACATGCAGGGAGCTGGATCGGCGGTGGAGTAGTCACGACATGAACCAGTGCCCACATGAAATAGTGGCATCATAGTCAGAGTATTAGCCAGTGAGTGAACATGCTGGCAACTTTTTAGAGATGCTTTCATTAAAAAAAAAAAAAACACCAAAACTGCCCAATGGATTTTTATTCTTTTTTCTCCAATGATTTAAACAACTTAGTTCATCTTCAATAATCACTTTTGTATCAAAAGCATCTTATTTTCCTTCCATTTATCTGCATTTCTATTTTAGAAACCTACCATTTAAAATGCTTTTGGAGCTGGATATCATTTGGATAAATTCCAAATTTCTTTTTCTTGGCAAGAAAAGCTCTTAACTTTGCTAAGAGGAATGTGACTTGTAAAACTCTACTTGTTGGCATACATTCTTCATGTCTGGCATCCACATTAGGGATCTGGTATGATTCTGGGCACAGAGTGGCTTTTAATCAAATAATTCTCAAATGCATCCATATACAAATGAGTGAGCTGGCAGAGGCACATATAAGCTCAAAACCAGACTGTATCAATATTCATCAGATCTGATTATTGTCAACAGATAATGCTCCTAGGTTTTTCTGGATGATTTTTTTTTTTCCTTCTGAAAGCTGTTTCTAATAAGCTCAAAAGCCTGAATTGGGAGATTGGAGAAGACTTAAAACCCTTTCAGGGAATCAGAAACAGAACTGTGCACACGCGTGTACACACACACACACACACACACAAGCTTGGCTTCACCTTGGTGAAATCACAGAAGATATGATGTCACTGTACACCACCCAATGTGTTCATGCAACAGCCTGCTAAGATAATTCTTTGCTCAGTTTAGGCAAGAAAGAGACTTTCTTTTAGTTCAAATTTGTATTATCATTTTCTCCTATACTCAATATGCTGTGGATCCTTTATTATAAACCCCAAATGATTGCTTATCGTTTCAACAATTTTTTTTCATGATGGCAGAGCGAGGGGACAATGCTGTAGGTGTGTGCAATTTGTAGGTCAGTATCCGTGAGGTTTGAACAGGAATTAGTAACCATAGCACAGAAAGGAAAATAAATGTTTTTCTGTACATACAAAAATTATAATTTTTTAAAAACATAAGCTCCCAGCAAAAATGCTTTCCATGATGTTCATGAGGGAGAAATAACAGAGCAAAAGAGGAGAAAACTAGAAGGAAAAATGAGAGAAGCAAGGAAATAAGGGGAGGAGCGGGGTGCAGAAGAACGTGAGAAGGGAGAAAAGCTGACCTAATGCTCACACTCCTGAATCCCCACGTTCACTGGTTACTGACACATGATCACACGCATCTTTGCTTAAACAGAAGAAATAATACAATCTATTTTAAAAAAATCAGTATTTTGATTTTTACATCACCATAGTTTTGGAGTTTAAGGCAATAATTACTTTGATCCTCTTGATATAAAGAAAGTGTTACTGATCCACTGTCTAATTATATACTTTGATAGAAATAGACATGGATTCTCACCCCATCACGTCAATCATGTTGGTGGACCCTTTTGCGACCTACATTGCTGAGACTGGATATAGGATTTAGAACAAATGTAGGTAACAGAACAGACCCGCTGGGTAGGAAAAACTTGTACCTGCCCATCTGTTCCAATGGAGCCTCCACAGTCGGTGAGGAGTTCGGACATGTCGTAGTAGCTGACAAACTCCCACAAGCAGGCCTCTAGGTTCAGGTTCCTGTAGAAGCGCAAGGTATTGGAGCCTCGAACGGATGAGCTGTACTGGTAAGGAAACGTCTCTCCAATCACATCTGGGTTTTGGGTAGCATCGGTCAAGAAACCGTGGTGGGTTTTCACTTCAGTATAATCCAGGAGGTTGGAGCACTTGTGGTTCCCAACTCTTGTGCCATCAGGGCTCAGGGTGAGCTCAAAATTGGAGAGCTCTCGGGTGGAGATCACAGGGAGCAGGCCTGGGAGGAAGAGGAAGCATTGTATCCGTTCAGGCAGCCAAGAGCTGTGAGCACATTCGAATGACTTAACCTCGTGAGAAAACAGGCTTCTCCAGCCACACAGCAGCAATGAGCAAAACAGTGCTACAGGACTCCTGGACTTTCCAGGAATTGCTTTAGAGGATTCATGATATTAAAGGTATTTTTATAATGATATGTTCTGGCTTTTCCACCTATATTTCTCACATATGCATGTGGAGTTTTCCAAGTGATAGATCATAGTGGGCTGAATGCAGAGGCAGATATAAGAATCCAGCATCTTTAATTGAGATATAAAAGATACCTCCAAAATATAAAATGATGCCACTCTTATAAGTTAATTTTTTAGAAATGTTTTGTATAGAAATGTTTTATATCAATAGGTCATAAATTAATGTTCATTGTTTTCAAAAAAGTAAATATTTAACAATTCCTAGCTTTAGCTTCAGATTCAGTATATTTTATATAACCCACAAACACCAAGTATCTTTGAGCTTTCCAATAATTTTTAAGATTATCCTGAGATCAAAAACTTGAACATTACCTGCAGAGAGTATGCATTGGCAAACTTGCTTTCTAAAGGACTGACTATTTGAGGGTTTGTGGGCCCTGGGATCCTGTCAAAACTGCTGCTGTTGTAAACGGAAAGCTACACTGGAAAAGAATCATAACTTGTGAAAAAAAAACTTGATTATGGAAAACCAAATACAACTTCATGTAAGGGTCTTGGGCCATGAGGTGGTCCTCCTTTCTTATTTATTTTCCTTTTCTCTCATGAGTGTTTAAAACACGTCTCATTCTTGGTTTGCAGACCACGTAAGCACAGGCCCACAGTTTGCTCACTCTGGGAATAAGCAATGCAGCAGGAGACGCCCAGTCTCCGTTTCAGATTTTCCCAGAGCAGAGCTGTAGCTGCACCCAATGGCTGACCAGTCTCCACCTTGCTTGTGGAGAGCTGTGGCTACAGGACATTCCTGCAGAGTCAAGCTACAGGTGCAGCAAAAGAGACCCTTCTTTCTGGGAGGCAAGAACTGTTTCAAGCCTGTTTCCCCTCATGGATTCCTTTCCTGCCCTTTGAAGCATTGAGGCATGCCTCCTCCTGGGCCTTGGGATGGGACAGTCAGATACAGAAGCAATGTTACGCTATAAAGAGATGTGGAATTCAATGACCTATGTGCCCATCCCCTCTCAGAAATGCAAACAGGTGCTCTGGTTTGCTACTGAGCAGACTAGGATGATGCCTCGTGCTTAGGGAAGTGGATTCCGCCTTGCACTTCCTAATGTTGCCTCATATTTTCTCTTGACTAACATGCCAAGTAATACAATCAATATTAACCATTTACTTCAAGTATAAAGTGATTTGAGTGGAAAAGAACTTGAAAATGCCCTTTGATACACAGGGAAATGTTTATAAAATGTTAATTCTTTATAAAGGGCAAATGAACACAAAACATGACACCCATTGATATCACATTTTATTATATTTTAAGGTTTAAGAAATATCTTAGTTATGGGATTAATGCCGAGAGAGAGACTTATGAAACTCCAGCCATAAAATAGCCAGTACATGTTGAAGCCTTGAGAAACTTAAATTCTATATTCTAAATTCCAAGTCTGAAGATACATCTGTGCTCTTTCAAATAAGACTAGCAGATAAAGAAAGCTTTGTTGTCTTTTTTCTTCTTCTAAGGATTTATTTATTTTGAAAGTCGGCGTTACAGAGAAATGGAGAGCAAAATCTTCCAGATTGGTTCATTCTCCGGATTGCCACAACAGCCAGTGCTGGGGCCAGGTGGAAGCCAGCTGTCGGAAGCCAGGAGCTTCCTCCAAGTTTCCCATATGGGTAGCAGAAGCCTTAACACTCTGGTCATCTTCTGCTGCTTTTCCCAGGACATTAGCAGGGAGCTGGGCTGGAAGTAGAACAGCTGGTACACAAACCTGCACCTGTATGAGATGCTGGAGTTGTGGGCAATGGCTTGTTACGCCATATTGCTGACCACTGTTTTGTTGTCTTTGGACATGCACTAAATTTATCCAATTTTAAAAACTACCTCCGTGGCCAGAACTTTAAAAACTGGGTAGAAAGAAAGTAGACACACAGGACTTTGGTTTCTAGTTGCAAATGGAACACATCTCTAAACTTGGTTACTTGGAAGATTAAGCAAAATAAACCACACAATGAGGAACCCAAAACGTGCCCATGGATTGGCTTCCCAAATCACTTATTCCCAAATCACACATCTATGTGTGGCATTGTAAAAGTCATTTTCTGTCTATGTGTGGCATCACTTACCATCTATATGCGGCATGGTGATAGTGAGTTTGATGAGGTTTGCATGGTCGGGGTCTTCTGGGCCAGTGTAGCGCAATTTAGCTGAGAATGGTTCTGCTCCCACCACCCCTGGCACACGTGGCTGACAAAGACCTTTAGGAAAAAGGAATATTTATGCCAAAAGATAATACAGGACACCTAAAGAAGATTTAAAAAATAGGTGCTATTACTTTTTTCTATCATTTAGTATTCTCTATGGTTTGGTTAAAAGTAGAAGTCATTCCAGAAGACCCTTTAGTGGCCATTTAATACTTAACTGACTTCAAAAAAATGTTTGAGAAAAAATAGTTGTGCCTTATTGTGATTTAAAATACACACCGGTCATTCTAGGCTACAATCACATCCACAAAATCATTCTAACATAAAGTATAAGCAGATTCAATGAAACTGAGTAAGAACCAGTAGGAAAATGTAAGTGTAATTTAATTATGTGAACTTGATGTTTACCCTAGAACAATATATTTAAGATTATTTATAAAATATACATTATTTATTGTTGGGTAAAACTAAAAGTGCATTTTAAAAGTGGAAACTTCTGTTTCATTAAGATTACACAGCAAATTGTACTTAATAGGGTTTTCTCTTTTTTACAGTATACAAATTACTATATTATATAGTATAAATTATGTTTCCTTTGAGTTGTTTTTTTCTTCTTTCCTCCTTTCTTCCTGTTATTTATCTAAGAGACATTACTTCAGAAATTCCAAAGATTTTGAAGCAAATCTCCCCAAACAGCATCCGTCTTAAAAGAATTTTGATGTTTTCATTTTAGCATCATTAAAGGGACCAACAAGCTGTTGGATTATAATTTCAAAAGAACCAGGAAATATATAATTTCTATTTGCATTCATAGAGGAAATAGACATGTATTCATTTGTAGGCACATGTTTTTTATGTCCTTTTCTTATTTCTTTATCCTTGGTTTTCCAATTAAGTCAGCAAGCTGTAGGTGCTAAGAAGTATGGAATGAATACATATGTTTTTTTAGCAAACATTTTTGTAACATTCAATTTTCATTTTTAGATGTCAACAGAGAAATATCAGACATATGGGACATATGGAAAATTTATAACCTAGAATTTGATACTTTTAATATTCCACGGGATTCCAACGATCTTTTTTGGGAAAACAGCCAGCTCTTACCTTCGTCCCTGCTGATGACAACGATGGGGCTCATCAACTCCAGGCCCTCATTGCCGTCAGCATTCACAGCACGAGCTGCACACTGCACCCTGGAGCCAGGCTGAAAGTATATGGAGTCCAAGGTGATCATCTTTGATGACGTAAAAAAGGTGTCAGAGTCCACTTCCCTCATGGGGCTGGTCACACCATCAGGGCCGGCAGGAGCGCTAATCAGCCATCGGTATTGTGTCAAAGTGTCATTGATGTTCTCACTTGCACAAATAGATCCTGTTTTCTCGTAGTCTGAATATTTGGGGTTGCAAGCCTACAGAAAAGAAACAAATATGTTAGAACTACAGTATGGCACATCGTGGAAATTATTCCTAGCACGTTCTATCACAGTGATGTCGCTATGCAGGTATGCAGATTGACAACCCCTCCTACAGCCCTCTCTGTGCAATAGACCCCTTTTGCATTGCTCAACATCCCTTTCACCATATGAAAAACAAAAAACAAAAACAAATGTATGGCTCCCATGCACCCCTGTTCAGCACCAGTAGCATTTAAAAATAACCACCATGGCTACCAGTTGTGTCCCTGTGACCTTTAGCTCACTCTACTGTCATTATAATAAAATTACCATGGCTGAAACTCCTACTGCCATTATGCACCTGATGCCACGGCACTTCTGAGATTTCCACTAAAGAGACAGAAATGATGGTACTCAAACCTTGTTCTAAGATCCCAACCCTTGTGAATAGCCAATGAAACTCTAACCCAGATATTGTCCTCTGTGCATACGCACCATTGAGTGCTGCCTCCTGCACTCAAGGAGTGCATATTTCTTTGCATGTAAATATTTTGACCTTTCTTTCTCAAATGCTTTCTTGTGTTGGAGACAGGAGCCTGGACCCAGTGTCCCCACAAAAGCATTGTGTATGCATGTATGTATGTATGTACATTTCAGACAGAGAAGTTTTATTTGCAAAGTGAACATGGGAAGAAGAGGGGAGGAGAGCTGGGAGATGGGGTGACTCGAAAGGAGAGGAGAGGGAGACACCCCAAAATATTTTCACTGCAGTTTTTTCTTCCCATTTTTATATGCTATTCACATCATTTACAGATTTTTATTTCAAGCTATGATAGTTTATGTGAACTTCAAGCTTGCATTTCAACAGTTTATACATTTTGATTTCCAATTTGAGTAAAATGTTTAACCACATCATCATCTATTAAATATTCAGATTTGCAAAATTATACTCTTTCTTCCTTTTTTTCCGTGTCTTTCCTCTTCTCTTCTCTCCTCCCTTCCATATTCAATGGGTTAATGAGTTTAGTCGCTATATTACAGTTTCCTAATTTGCTTCTTTCTCATCACCTTCTTCCTTCCTAATCTGGGACTTGTCTCTTAAGCCGTTTGACACACACTGCATTCTTGCTCTGTAAACTCTTCAGCATTACCTTTTGATTATGCCTTTCTTCTGTGCAAGAGCTCTGTTGCTCAATAGAAGATGTCCAAACTTAAAAATCTTATAATTTGGCACAATGATTGCTTCTGCCTTGTTAATTTAAGAAATAATAATTTAGTATATATTTTATTATATGATGCAATTATACAAGGACTATTAAGATTCAAAAGTCAGTAAATTATTGATTTTCTCAAAAGGAGCTTGAAATTTAGTCAAGAGAAGGCAAGTTACAAGGTGATGATAATGGGCTATTTCTGTTGCTATTCCTCTAGTTGCTGCAATCACTTCTTTCTGCAATACCTTTCCCTACCTGACTCTTAACCTATTCAGACTCACCTGACCATTGCAATTCTTCACTCACAGATGGAGCAGAGGCTGCTCTGGTTTCCAGTTCGAACCATGATCACATCTTGCCCTATCTTACAGTTACTGACCCCTGCGTGTTTCCTCTTCCTTACTGTTGAATTCCTCATGTGCAGCAGTCACACCCTGCTTCGTTTTAACCACTGACAGATTCTGAGATTACATGCTACATACACATCAATTAATCATTGTTGGATAAGATAAAGGAAGAAAAACAGGAGTTTATTAAATTAATGTTGCATCTTTCTTTTAAAAAATCCAATCTTAAGCCCTTCACTGTTTTCCCATGTTATTTTGCTGACAAGGCAAGTATTATACTGATTAAGGTCTATAATTTTTTTTATTATTATTTTTCTATAATTTTTAAAAACAATTATCTTACACTTTGCCAATGTCCTACTCACTGTGATGCAGATGACTGGATAGCCAGACACAGGTGCAGCTCCCTCCTTAGCTCTGGAGCTATCGTCATATACCAGCAAGGACATAACTTGGGGGACAGAAGGAAAAGTGACATCTGCCATGCTGTTCATTTCTTCTATATACACAATGGCTTTGGTTGCCTGGAAAAAGGGAGAGAATTAACACCAATTGGTGAAATATTAAACTTTTACTTCTTTCATGGTGAATATTTCAATGCTGAGAACCTCAACAGAGTGGCCTCATTTGGTTTGTTACATGTGACGCTGGCACCTTGCTGATATCTTACAGCCCCAAGGGAGGGAAGAGGAACCTGGCACAGCTAATCCAAAGGTTGGTCTGTGGCTTAGAAAGAAATAAGGGCCTTGATGTTATACTCTAACTTTGATGGGCATAGCTAAATCTTTCTAGAACCTATGGAAATATGTAAAAGCTCGTTGGAATTGAGAGGAAAGCTGAAAAACACACTGGATGATGCGGATCATGATCAAACTTATCCAGTGACAAAACTTGGAAGAGCAGAGGCCAGAAAGCACCCGTTGAAGCACAGGTACCGAGGAAGTAAAGCTCCAGACAGAAGAAGAATCAGTGGACATCTGCTGCTGGGCAGGTGGCAAAAATACCTGTTGTCAGTTATCCCTGGCTTCTCAATAACCTTCATGTATCTGATGACTTAACACAGTTTCTAGTCTTTACTGACATGCACTGATAGTGTTGACTTTACATGGAGTAAGTTATGTCCTGGGAAATCACTGAAAATTGAAAATAGCAGAGATTGAAAATGCACTGAATACACCTGACTTATGGGACACCTCACTTAAGCTATGAGGCTCAGCAGGACAACAGCATGTGGAATACTGGCTGCATCCTCCTGTGGACGTGTGGGTGGCTGGGAGCTGCAGCTTCTTCAGCTGCTTAGAATGAAGACGTAATGATCAGATTTTGCTGCCCCAACCTGAGAAAGATCCAAATTCAAAATCTGAAATCTGATCTCCACTGGGCCAAAAGAAGTTATTACAATTGGAAATGATTGAACTGAATCTGCTTCTTTCACCTTGAATTTCATATATGTCTGCATAAAAAATCATCATAGACTCATATTTATGTGATTAAGACATAAAAATGCTTGATAAAGATTTTTCCCATTTTTCTTAAATTTTAACTTTGTCTTGGAGATGATAAAAATGTTGCTGCAAATTTGTCTCATAATATTGAAACAAATGCAAGCAATATGATAAATCTAAACATAGTTTCTATAGAAATTGATCTGTTCCTAACATGGCAATGTATTTAACATTCAAAAATCATTTTTAGTGTAAAGGCTAAAATTCAATGCATATTTTGTTTTTCTTGAGGAAAACCAGATTGATGATATGTTAATTAAAGAAACACATATTTTAGGACTCACACAAGATTGTGGACATCAAATTCTGAAAAAGACAGGAGGAACAGGTGGGGTTTTACAATATTTATTTGTTTATTTGATAGGCAGAGGGGCATAGGAAGAGGAAGAGACAGAGAGGAGAGAGATCTTTGATTCTCTGGTTCATTCTTCAAACCTCTACAACAGCGAGAGTCGATTCTGACTGATGCCTGGAACCTGGAACTTCATCCAGACACTTCCACAAGGGCGCAGGAACCCAAATGCAGAAACCATCACTGGCTCTCTTTTGAGTGCATTAGTAGGAAGTGAGATTAGAGTAGAAGGGATTAATATTCGAGCTCTGCACGAGTACACGGGGACCCCAAGAGGAAGCTTAACCCACTGTACCAGAGTGTCCACAGCTACGAGGGGATTTTGAAGGCTAGCAGATCGTTTTATAAGTTAAAATGCGTAAGGTTATTAAAAAATTTTTGTTGGGAAATGCAAATAAAGGATATGTTTATTTTGGTTTAAATCACTTGAAATCCATTTACACGAGAGGTCTTCAAAATGCTCAGATACATATTTTTTAAAAATGTTCATCTTTCAAAAAATTTTTTACTCCAAAACGAACTTAACTTTTACTTCCATTTTTTTTCCACCGACATTTTGTGGTGCTCTTATGTGTGGTAATGAGTTGCAGTGCAGAATTAACTATGTCATTTTTGTGCTGCAATGAGATTACTGATCCAATCCTTACTGACTGACGTGGGACAATGTGGTGCTCAGTGACCCCAAGACTGAGTTTCTTAAATGTGATTTTCCAAAGTAAGTGACTGCAGTTTTTTGATTCGGATGCAACTGTAATAAAATGTATTCATGTAACGAAGAGGGATTGTGCACATTCCTTTCATGTAAGCAAATCTTATACAAAAGTCTCATGACTTTGTTGCGTGTAATTGGATTAGTTCAAGTGTCTTCTCAGTAAAGCATGGGTCATGGCTTTGTATACACACTGTGCCACTTACCTGTGTCTCTGCTATCATATTTTCATCAGGTTTCAGATGGACGGTGAAGGCCTCCCGCATCTCTCTTATTCCATCAAAGATAACTTCAATCTCAACGATGTGTTGGGTTTCTCCTTCCCTAAACACAATTTCTAAAAATGCAACATCACAGAGTCAAATTTTTTGCATATGAATGTCACTAGAATTTATAGTATCTAAATCATTCTTTTCCATTTAATTTGAAAGGCAAAGCCACAGAGAGAGAAAAAGAGAGAGAAAGTACAATTTTATTTCTGTTGCTTCATTCCCCAAAGGGTCGCAATGAGCAGAGTCAGGCTGGTCCCAGGCTCTTCCAAGTAAGATCCAGATGCCCAAGCACTGTTGCCGTTCTCAGCTGCTTTTCCAGATCATAAGCAAAGAGCTGGATTGGGAGTGGAGCAGCCAGGACATGAACCAGTGCTAGTGTGAGGTGCTGGCACTGCAGGTGGAAGCTTACCTACAACATCATGGTACCATCCCATAATCATACTACTATTTGTGATTTGTGGAGTCAAAACTTGAAACAAATATTGAATTATAGAATAGTCAATCATTCTAATACTTGTACTTAATCAGATAAATTCTGTGATTTCCTCAGAATTTCTAATCCATACCTGTCAATGTGTAGGATGACTGATGCTGATTAATGTGAATAGCATCTATGTTATTTATGTGTGTAGAACATCTGAATATAAAAGTACTGCTTTTCAGTTATGATAATAAATTACTGTTTAAAAATCTTTTTATTATTCTTGGAAACAGTAATTTAGATAAATGTTAACAAGTTTTCCCCTAAACTCAGTCACCTCTCGTTTAAAGAAAATTACTTTGTTGTTATGAAAACTAAGGTCATTTTACTAAGACCTTCTCTAAAATTTTGAGATAAATACTAATAAAAATATTAGATTATAATTTTAAAATTACTGGACTTTTATTAAGTGCATGATTAAGCAGCTGATTATATTGTTAATCTTGTGCAAAACTATTTTGGTGGTTTTATTATTTTTAGAGGCAAGTTCAGAGGAGAAAATATAAAAAAAAGCAAAGCCATTCCAGCTGGAGATAGCAGATGTTGCTTCCTATTGTAATTGCAGTCTAACCATTATAATTCTAACTTATAAATCTTGGAGTCTGGCAGAAGAAAATGCACCTTTAATGCATGTTTTTCTATTTCAACACTTTTATAACAGATTACAAAGAGAGCTTTTTTTCTCTTTAAGGTGAAGTTAGTAAACCACACATATCTGTATAATTAGCTCTGTTTCTAGCAACAGCCATTTTTTTTTTTTACCCCTAAGACTTAGCCTTTCTTTTTTGAGTTCATCAGATTTACAGTTTTCATACCCAAAGAGAACTTATGGTTTCTTATTTCAGAGAACGAAAATAGCTGATCATTTGTTTCTGGCCCACTCATTTTAAAATTTTAATCCAACATAAAGAGACATTTCATTTCTGAGAAAAAAATTTCTCTTAAAATGTATGCTATCTATAGTTAGAAGGCTTTTCCTCCATGTAGCATGTGCTTATCATAGCATCACTATTTTGTATCTTAATAGCTGATGAATATTGTTTCCTCTTTTTTTGGGATTGCCTATGATTTGTTTCAAATACATGATCTGTCTTTTTATAGAGAATAATGTGTGGATACCCATTAAGCACTACAGTGGTTTCCCAGATTTTTACTATACAGGCAAAGGAAATACAAAGTTCTTGGCAGGTGGTGCAATTTTTTTCTCATTATCTTTGATACTGGTTCAGTAACAAAATAAACTACTCTCTAAATTTGAGGGTGAGTATTGTTTTAGAAAATCAAACAGGATGTGTAGGGTTGGCATATTGGCACAGTGGGTAAGCCACCACCCATGATGTGAGCATCTCATATGGGTGCTGACTTGAGTGTCAGATGTCTTAATCCAACCTGCTCCCTGTTGATGTGCCAAGGAAAGCAGTACCCTAATCTTCGGATCCTTGCATTGACATGGGAGACTTGAATGGAGCTCTAGTGTGCTGACTCAGCCGGCCCAGCTCCATGCCATTAGTCATTTGGGGAGTGAACCAGTGCATGGAAGAATACTGTGTCTTTTTGTTTCTTTGTCTTTCTCTCTCTACCTCTCTCTCTTGCTCTCTCTTTATCTCTCTCTCCACCTCTCTTTCTGTGACTCTGGCACTTCAAAATAAATAAATAAGCAGACAACCCCCCCCCCCCAAAAAAAACAAAGATGTAAAAACTAGTGCTTGTTGGTAATGAGAGCCAGAAAAGTAGAAACACAGGATGTCAACACATTGCCCAATGACTCACACTCAATGTTGGCCATAAGTTCAAAAAGAACATGTGAGAGAAGACCTGATTCATTTCAATTGCTTATAAAAGTAAGTGGTAATATACTCTCAACAGTTGCATGAGGACAGGGATAAAGGCTCTTAGTCTAAAAGCATTCATGGGTCTCAGTGGTTGGAATTTCACCTCCCTTTGTGTCATATAGTCAGGCAAAATTTTCTAGCTTTTAATTTTTCTTAGATTTATCTATTTATTTATTTATATTAGAAAGGCAGATATACAGAGAGGAGGAGAGACAGGAAGATTTTCCATCTGTTGATTCACTTCCCAAGCAACACAACAGCAGGAGCTGAACTGATTCGAAGCCAGGAGCCCAGAGCCCAGTCTCCCATGCAGATGCAGGGTCCCAAGGCTTTGGGCCATCTTCGACTGCTTTCCCAGTGAGCTGAATGGGAAACGTGGCTGCCAGGATCAGAACCAGCGCCCATATGAAATCCCAGCGGGTGCAAGGTGAGGACTTCAGTGGCTAGGCTACCATGCTAGGCCCTTTACTTAATTAAAAAAAAAATTCTCTCAGCCAAAATTAGCAATCATGATGACCATATGTATATGATCATGTAACAGGACATTGCAAGGAAATTATTATCTAATATTTGATTAGTAAACAAAGGGAAAGCCAATGAAAAATTAAAGTATACCAAAAGAAGTTTCCTAAAACCTAACACATGTACGCCATGAGTCAAAAAGAAAAAGGCTAAAAATAAAATTCTGTTGTATTTGGATTTCTGAAGGCGATGAATTTAAGAGTGTTTTTTTTTTTTTTTTCTGTTGGATGTTCCACTCCTTCTCATCGGCACCAATATTAACATTCATCGTTGCTGCATCCCAGCTGGAGGAAGGCACTGGGAAACATTACCTTCTGATACAGGGTGATAATCCTCTCCCGAGGTAGCTGAGCCGTCCTTGGTGTGGACTCTGACAATGGAAACCTTTGAGGTGTCCCCTTGACGAATCACTGGAATTTTTATAATCACTGACCCTCCTGGTTCCTTGGGCTCAGTGATGCTAAATTTGGTCTCTCCAAATTTAATGATAGCCTCTAGAATTGCAGTAAACATAAGCAAATTAAATCTTTAGCAAGAGGAATACATTTTTCCATTCCTTCAATTCCTTGCCATGTGGGAGGAGCCTGATAACTAATGTACTTCGGCCTTTTCTTTGTGCTATCACCCAACACTAGTGGTTAGTGCGGAAGAAGTTTACATGCAAGACATGGTTCCCACCTCAGAATTAACCTGATTCCAAAGAGCAGGTGCTCTGGGCTGTTTCTATGTGCCCTAAATTATTCAGTTGGGGGGTCACTGAAAGGAAGAGGGAAAAGGGGAAAACATATTCTAGAACTGTCTATACTTAGGGTATTTGAGGCAAAGGGGTAGTGGGAGCTAGGAAGGTGGGCACGTGTAGATATCTGGGATTCAGTATTTAGACATAAATCATATTCTCCAATCTGAATCTTATAAATTTAAGGTGTTTTTTTTTGTTGTTGTTCTTGTGGCCTAGCCTTTTCTTTTTATTTCTCAACTGCTTTACAACACTAATCAGAAAAGAAAGTTATTGACTGAACTACTTAAAACCTCAACAGGGATGGATTTCAGTTCCACACTTTCAGTAGAGCCCGATAAATGATTTCTTACTATCAGCATCATCTTGGATCCTTATCAGAGTCTCATTCTGTTCACCAATCGCAGCTCCGAAGGGAGAGTTGCTCTGTGGGGTGCCCAGTACCAGGCGGAGCTCTTCAATGTCCTCATAGAGTGTGTCATCCATCAACTCAAGAACACAAGGCTTTTCAGTCTCACCTGCAATAGTAATCACCACAGCAAGTCAGCCATGTCCTGGAGTCCAAGAAGGAGGAGCTGGCAATCAGAGTGCAAGCACCCCTGGGACAAGGACACTGTTTTTCTTTCTGTTGTTATGGTGCAAACAATAATGTTTGCAGGGAAATGAGTCTTGGATAGATATTTGCTGAATAAATGAGTAAAGGTTTGAACCCCTATTTGTATACAAAATTTATTTCTCTAGGTTCTGCTATTCATATTGGAAAATGAGGAAAATGCCATAAATACCAGTTCAGTTTATAAAATTTCCAGCTTTCCAGTTAGGAAGCAAACTTAATGTCCTCATACTATTTGGTCCCAGTTGACCTTGGTAATACTAGTCGCTAGCGATGATAAATATGGTTGTATTGTACGAGTCATTTACTTGAGAGCAATCAGGTCCTTATCCTCAATAATGAGACCAATGTTGCATTCTGAACTTTCCTGTCTCATCAACCCTTCTCTAAAACATTTTAATGGTCATAAAACATACAATCAAATGGATATTCATATAAATAATTCTCCAGCTATTTATTAGTTATTCAATTTATTTTCAAACTTCCCCTATTATAAATAACTTTGTAATAAACACTCATATAGGAGATCTTTCTGTGCATTTTCTGATAAGTATAAATATTGGATCAAAGTAATAGAACATTTTCAGGCACTGTATACATATTAAAATATGCTTTACTCTTTTCTCTGTTCTTTTAAATGTTATGTTTAATTGCAAGCATTATGAAATCTATGCTTGATATGCTTTCATCCAGTGATTACATTTGGAATAAATAATGTGGCCTATCATTAATAAGCTAATATAGAATATCAAGAGGACAAAACCTGTTCAAGTCTGCCTCAGTTTATCATCATTTAATGCGCATAAAATCATGTCATAAGCGTTACACAGTCCATCCTGACAGGTATATCTTAACAGACTCCGGGCTGCTTCAGAATCACTTGATCATTTCCAGCTCAAACATACCAGGGAGGAAGGTGATCTTGGAGATGTCAGTGTTGGGGCGTTCTTCAAAGTCCATCATCACCTGCGCCGACCCCTGCCGTGTGTAGCATCTTACTGAAGACTGGTACTGGATGTCTCCACTCCTGTGGATCACGGCAACTATCTGCCCGTCACTTTCACGGCCAGTGTACGTTCGCTCTTTGAATTGCATCTTAGGCACTGAGAAATCAAGTAAAGACATGGATCAAGGCATGCAGAAATTTCTTCAAAATAAAGGGTATTCCAAAAGTTGTAGTTTAGTAGGGTAACAAAAAGAAGTGAGGCCAAAAAAAAAAGTATCCCAATGTTCGGTCATTTGTTAATACTTCGACCCTTAGCAAAATCAGGTTTTGATTTCCTTTTCTTTGAAATTTTGTAGAATGAAGATACACTAAAAAGTTGCTAAAATTGGACTGGAAGATAGTTGTGTCCATTTGTATTGCCTAGTCATGAGCTATTTAGAACTTTCTGGCACAAAAACCTGCACATTATGCATACTACTATGCTCAGTTTATCCAGCAATATTGAGAAACTTGACAGCATGTGTATATACTTTTTAAAAAGTTGACTAATTTTACTTATTTGAGAGACAGAGAGACTGTAAGTATTTATTTACCAATTTACTCCCTAAATGCTGATAAAGGAATGGGCTATCCCAGGCTGAAGTCAGCAGTCTGGCTCTCAATCTGAGTCTCTCATGCAAGTGGCACGTGAGTGGTACAACTACGCGGGTCATCATCCACGTGAGTCAGCATGACCATCATCATCTCCAAGGGGCACACTGAGAGGAAGATGGAGTCAGGAACAGAGCCTGGATTCAAACCCAGCAGACTGACTTAGGATGTGGATGTCTCCTGTAGTATGTTAAGTCAAAGTAACATAAGGCCAATAGGATGGTCCCTAATGCAATATGACTCATGTTCTCCCCAAAAAGGCACAAGTTGAATAAAAAGACCCAAATAAAGGGAAAATGATTTTAAGAGACCCAAGGGCAAGACGACCATCTATGGGACAAACAAACAGGCCTGGAACATCCTTTCTTTTTTTTTTTCTTTTAAAGAATTTTTTTATTGGAAAGTGAGGGATACAAAGAGGAGGAGAGACAGAGGGGAAGATCTTTCATCTGCTGACCCACTCTCCAAGTCTGCAACAGCTAGAGCTTCACCAATATGAAGCCAGGACCCTGGAGTCTCCTCTGGATCTCCCATGAGTTTGCAAGGGTGCCAAGGTTTTGAGCCATCCTTGATTGCTTTCCCAGGCCACAAGCAGGCAGCAAGATGGGGAGCAGGGTTGCTGGGATTAGAATGGCACTCATATGGGATCCCGACATGTACAAGGTGAGGACTTTCGCTACTAGGCTACTGCACCAGGCCCTGGAACATATACATCTTTCTTTACAGCACTCAGAAGGAATAAACTCTCAACACTTTGATTTTGGACTTTGAATAATATCTGTGAGACAGTAAATCTGTGTGGCCTAAGTCTCCCAATTTTCAGTGCTCTGTGACGGCAGTCCTAACAGACGAACAGAGGTACATATGGTTGTATTATCATTTCATGTGCCACTTAAATAAAATGTAGCATATCATCAATAAAACTAATGGACACTCACAATCAGAGATGGAGTCATTTATAGACACTGTGGCTTTGCTGGGCTCGCCAAGGGCTGCGTTCGTAGGCATACGAAGCACCAGTTCAAAGTTCTCAATTCCCTCCAGCACTGGTTGTCCAAGGTCATCCAGAATGGTAACACGAACAGTTTGCATGTTGGCTCCAGGGGCAAAATCTAAGCTACGACTGATTCCCACGTAGTCTGTCCCAGCTGCGCAAGAGACAAAAGGATGGAGATACATTTATAAATATTTCTTCAAAAGTGAAAACAGTCAGAAATGTATATGTTTAATGAAATGCACAAGATTAGTATCTACATTAGCATTGAGGACTTAGAACAGAGGTTGGCCTGAAGTTACTATCTAAGGGCTGAGTTCGGGTTAGTTACTTAACTTTCCGTGCTACAGTTCTTTCAGTTTTGTTTCAGAAACTTTCTAGTGGAATTAACAAAATCAGGACTGACACAATGAGCACATTAGTTTTATACATGATTATCATAGATTAAATGAGGCGATCTCCAAAAAGTTAATGAAAAACACACATTATGAAAAACTGACTTTCAAACATTGTTTTGCATCAAATGAAGCTTATCTTTCAATTCTATTCGGTACAAACTTTTTGAAGTACATTTTCCATAAAAGCTTATGTTTAAAACTTCATTCACATTATTCCAGTATCTATATTGCCTTCCACAGTACACCACTTCTAGGTGTCCAATGACTAATGCAACCCATTTCCCTAGAGAGCTTGTATCCCCCCTGCTTCACTCCACTTGCTCAGGCAATGAGATGGACTTTCTGTTCTTAAAGCTGTGTGTTTGATCTTTCATTTAATATTTTTCAGACCAGAGGGAACACAGTGTGGACACCTCCATGTCTAGTAGTTCTAAGACAGCTAGTGGATGGATACTTGAACCTGTGAGTCAGGCCAAACTCATTATATTGATATAACCAGTCTATACTTACATATAGGCTGCTTTTTTCCTATGCATACTTATGATAAAGCTTAATTTAAAAGTTAGGGACAGCAAGAGACTAAGAACAATAATAACAAAATAGACCAATCACATGGCAATAAAGTTATGTGAAGATGGTCTCCTCTCTCTTGTGCTCTGTCTCGAAATATCTTATTGTCCTGTGCTGCTCCTCTAGGGATGGTGTGATAATACACATTGCCTATGCGATGAGATGAAGAGATGACCTTGGCTTGTGATGCAATGTTAGGTGGACGCATACGTAATGGCTATGTTGTGACAGCTGATCTCATAGCTGGGATGGCTACTGCACTGACACTGCACACACTGGACAAGGGGCTGAGTCAGGCCCTGAGCAGGAGAGAATAGAATGGCCCAGAATTCCGTCATGTTACCTAGAATGTCAACCAATTAGAAATTCTTGAATTGCTTAGTTTTATTTAATACTCTCAGGTTATGGTGGGCTGAAGGTAATTGGAACTTTGAAATGAAATTCCATGGGGACAGGCTACTGTACACCTGTCAAGCAGTTTAGAGTAAAACGTTTTTAGTCTTCAGTCACTACAACCATAGAGACATCGGGGAGTTCATTATTATTACTTCTTTCCTTGTTTTTGATTTTTTTTTGTTCTTCTGACTCTAAATTTTCCTATCAACTTTGCCTCTGAATAGGCAAATATGCTTGAGAATAACTTTCTTTAATGTATTCTATAAAATTTCTTCATTTCCTAGCATTTGTTTTCTATTTTTTTCTATTGATGCTTTCATTTTATTGTTTTTATTCTCTTTTCCTCCTCATCTTTGACTTGAATTTTTCTGGTAAGAAGAATTAATTTGGTTCCACAAAGGCTGAGTACCTACTCCATCTCAAGCTCTGTGTTGATTCCAATGCATTTTAAAAGTCAAGAAATAAGAACAAGTTTTAAAATGCTAGGGTTTCTGTTTCCTTTGTGTGATGAATGTGTGATGTGTGCATAATATGCATATGTGTTTAGGTATGAGGAAAAACTGTTGGTTGTTTGGAAGAAAAAGGCAGACTTGACTCCTGTGCCTGCCCTTACCTTTATAAATAAATTTTGGAGCTGTAGAGCTGTGAATAAGAGGTAGGTGTGTGCTAGCCTGGAAGGTTCATGTAACAAACCAAAGAAATTTCTGAGGATACTTGATTAAAATATAAAGGGAGCCAATTAAAAATGCTTACTTTTATGGTACCTATCATTAGATTTCTGTGAGAGTGGTCAGTATGACGATTCTCACGCACACGTCATCACATTCAACAATGTGAGGTTTGGCCAGAGTTGAGAACAAGTTGGTGAAACGAGGGCATTAGAATTAAGCCTTTGTGTCTAACATTTCTCCCTTGTCTCTGCTTCATGACCCTTAGCTATAAAAAGTAGTAAATTAATTCCATGTTTGTCGCGGGTAAAAATGTCATTCAGCTAGACTTGCTTTAAGAGGATTGGAGGATTTGAGCTTTAAGGCGTTCAATGTCCTGGTAGCTGAAGGGCGCAGAGTAGTCCAAAGAGCTATCAGGAAGCTGCTCACCCTCTGCGGAAGGAGGGTCTGTTTTCCGAGACCTCACCGTGACACTGGAAGCCTTGGAAAGGTCGGTGCCTGACCTCCACACTCGCACCTCCACGTAGCCGGCGCTCTCATCCGCAGCGTACTTGACGTCCCCGAAGTGGAAGACAGGTTCTGTTAGGAATGCGAGAGAACTCATCACGTGGGTTTGTTTGTTTTTTATATGAAACTCCTTTGCTAGGATTCCAAACGAGAGTTAGCTGTGTCTTATGGATTTACTTATTTTGCCATATTGGTCTTTTTTTTTTCTTTTAGTAAGGTAAAATCTTTCTATTGCACAGGTTTTCTGTAGTTGTTAGGTCAAAAGTATCCTTTTTTGAAAATAAAAATGCATAAAGTAGACTGTTTTCCCATCCTGAGGCATGAGAAAGTCTGTCCCTCAAATGTAGAATTATAAATGACCTTTACATGCATTTCCTTGAAGTTTTGCTGTAAAAATAGAACCAAATGAGCAAAATCACATAAGACTGATTATGTTTAGGTTTGATCCTGCCATTCGTTTAATCATCTCCTATCACTGTGGAACAGAGAACAACAATAAAGCACTTAAAAAAAAACCTGAAAAAATGGAACTAAGTTTACTTTAAATCATCTTTCAAATAAATAGAACAAATCTTTAAAAGATCCAAAAGACTGAATGTTACCCAGCAGTATTTCTTAAAACACAAGGCCATTAGAAAGATGACATTGCATTTCAGAAAATGTAATGGAATTCCCTACAAAAACCTACAAAGGTCACAAAGCCAAGGAAGTCCATTTTGAACACTGCTTAAGTTAAGGACGCATTCTTAAAAAGTTTTCCTGTCTTAAAGAAACTACCTTTACTAAAACTGCAAAAGTTTGTTTTGTCTCCTCATGTGGGGTTATGATAAGTAGCTGCCAAGAACTCTTGAATATGAAACCAGCCCTGGGAATTTTTGTTTGCATACTTTGTGGGTCAAGGAGTGATAAATCTGTCCACAGCACAGTTCACCCCCTTCCCATCCTTTCAACCTGGACAGTGTTAGGGTACGCGAGTGAATGTGTATAGATGAAGGTGTTATCGTACAACCTCAGTCAGAGCAGACCTCACCTACGCCCGTTACATTCCTTACATTTCTCATGCCTAAGCACAGGGCAAAGGTGAAGACAGAGAGCCCGGGAAATGCTACTCTGACCAGATGGCCAAACCAGGCATGCCTGCCTGTCATCTACAAAGCTTTCATAATTATCATCGACCCTGGATCATCTGCTTCCAACAAGTGAGCTCTCTGACTCTCTTCACATTCTTGGCAAACCATGTTATCATAGAAATTAAGTTTCTGACTTGTGAGAGTGGGTTGTACAATGCATTAAGGAAGGCCCTCCAATAAATGAGCTGATATCTATATCTATATCTATATCTATATCTATATCTATATCTATATCTATAAGCATTCAGCATTGAGGAATAAGAACTCAATACAGCTATTATTTTTATTTCAGTTTCTCATTTTCATTTCAAAATCTCTAAACTTTGAATATTATTATAATTGTTACTCTGGTGATAAAGCTGTGTGCCTTATAAATGAGCCAAAGATGCAGCAAGCAGTGAATTGAGTTACAGATGTCTCTTAAGAAAAAATGGTAAGATATTCTTGGATGAGTTTAATGGTTGCGAAGCAGTGAATGGAGAACGTCAATGGTTAGAGCATGTCTGTGTAAAATCCAGAACAAATGTTAGTTCGTGTCCTGGCTGACTCAGTTCGGATCTTGTTCTCTACTAACACTCCTGGGAAAACAGTGGAAGATGGTGCAAGCACTTGGGTCCCTGCCACCTCTGTGGAAAGCTCCAGTGGAGTTCTAGGCTCCTGGCTTCAGCCTGTCTCTGCCGTGATCATTAAGTGCATTTGGGGAATGTTTCAGTGGATGAAAGTTCTCACTCTGTCACTTTGAATTTCAAAATAAATTTTTTACTCTTGATCTTGGCCAAAAGGCCAAGAACCAATCAAAATAAAAATTTTAAAAACATTTATAAAAAGAAATACTGGTTAGTTACTGTAACTTCAAATAAATTAGAGCAAGCTTATTGAATCCTGTCGTGGAGCTCCAAAGCATCTACTGTGCCACTTGTATGGCTGAAGTTCAGGCTTGCTGGGGCAAACATCAGTGATAGGTATTATTAGCTGGAATTAGAGCATAAAGGATAGTTTAGTAAAGCAACACATTCTGCCGCAATTACACCACATAATACCATCAAGTAGTCCTCCCTCTTCACTCCACCATCCTCAAACAGCACTTCAGCTGCCTGTCTATTCCTCAGCAAAGGAAAACCAACTCATATCCAGTGTATGTGAGAACAGCACTGGGGGCGGGGGCGTCCTCCATTGGACACGGGAAAGAGCGTGGACTTCATAAGGTAGGGGAAGTCCTTTCTTTATCTTTTCTGGTGTCACACTTTGAGGTGAAAGGCAAAGATCAAGACACTGACTACAGCAGAGCCTATTCAAGCTCATTAAACCTTAATGCGCTTTTCAAGGCTGGGGTTGATTTACATCTGGCACAGATACGCTCTCACTTGTTTCCTACAAACGTAAGAAACAAGAAAGTTTGGCAAGTTACATGGCATACACACCTGTAAATGAGACAAAAGGAAACTCACTTTATGTTTGTTTCCCCTTGGGGGAAAAAGTGAACTCTGTGTGTCTAGATTGATGTTTACAATCACATTTCATCTTGTGAGATGAAAGGGAGAGGTGACCGCTCTGTGGAGCCAAATCTTATTTACTCACATGAATGTGGACCATCAGTCAAACAAGCTTTGTAGAATGTACCAACATGTTTGCTTAGAACTGGATGAAATAAGAGCTTCTTATGTTGTCTTTTGGTTCAGTGATGAAAATAACATAAAGGAACCCTCTAAAATTGTTTTCAACTCAGATCTGTTTTCTGAATTTAGGATCTTGATTAACTCTGTTTACTTAAGCCACTTTGCAAGGGCACCTCAAGGTAAACTCCAAACCAGAGCTGACATAGTCATACCCACCCTTCATCCTGCAGTTGGTCTTCCATCACTACTGTTAGCCTACCTGGGGGTCAGCATCACGTGTTACTTGAATTCCCCCAACAGCCACTTAACCAGACTTTTAAGCAAGATGTCCAGCACCAAAACGAATTGCAAAGTAATTCCTTTACTGAAAATCTTCCAGGATTTCAGGCTTTTTCCTGTAGAGTCTCTTTTAGGATTTCAGGATTGTTCACCAACTCCTTGTTGTGATGTTAAGACATTGCACTACCTGGTCTCAGTTTGACTTTCCAATCTCACATTGATCCTGTTTCTACTCAGTGATCCATTAGAGGGTGCCACTCTGAGGCTTTGCTATGTGGCTGACAGTTCTTCAGCCTTTCCTGCTGTCTTCATGTGGGCACCTCCTGCTCCCTGACACAGTGCTTCCTTCTGCATGGGATCCTTAACTCCTCTCCCACAGTCATGGCCTGTTTGTGCTAAATTCCCTTCAGTTTCTGAGCTAAGAGGAGGAAGTAAACTTTTATTCATTGATGTTTCTCTAATGTCTATCTTAGTTAATATTTAGCATTGTTTTTAGAGTGAGCTAACATCAGGTAGATTAGGATTATTTATTTGATACAGGAAAGGGATAAATATGGCTGTCTCTGTGGTGGGTGGATTACAAGAGGGGCCAAGTGGATGACTTAGAGATAAAATGGCCTTGAAAGGGTACCTTTTGATGCTGGAACCATTTCACAGAGGAAAGGGAAGTGAATGCAATAAACTTGAGGAAAAGCATTTTTTCCCCTCATTTTCTTTTAAAATACTTTTTCCCTAATGATTGTCAAGTTAGACATATCTTAGAATTACCCAAGGAGAACTAAACATACAGATACTGCAGTCTTACCTAAAACTTTATGAATCTGAACATGCAACAGGTAAGTCCAACTACCAGGTTTGGTTGTTTAATCATTTTTTTAAAAAAGGTTATTTATTTAAAAGGCATAGTTTGCAGAGGGTCCGAAGGAAAGACAGTGTGAGATCTTTCATCTGTTGGTTCTCTTCCCAAGGGAGTGCAATGGCTGGAGCTGGGCCGATCTGAAGCCAGAAACCAGGAGCTTCTGGGACTTCCATGTGGATACATGGGCCCAAGCACTCAGGCCATCCTCTGCTGCTTTTCCATGTACATTATCAGGGAGCTGGATAAGAAGTGGAGCAGCTGGTACTTAAACCAGTGCCCATGTGGTATACTTACAAGACTGCAGGTGGCAGCTATACCTGCTGCATTACAGAGCTGGCCCCTAGATGTTTTCCTTTTAAACATTTGTTTATTCAGTTGAAAGAGAGAGAGAGAAAAAGGAGAAGGAGGAGGAGGAGGAGGAAAAAGGACTTACATTATGATGCAGTATGTGGCAGATAAACAATCAGAGAAGGTGATCAAACAAGAGTTTACTAAAAAGAGCAGAGGAACCACAAGAGAAGAGAAAATTTCCCAGAAAAGAAGGTAAGATGGATTTTTCAGAAAGAAGCTGGGGTGGGGGGAGGAGGAGATCTCTCATCTACTGATTCACTTCCTGAATGGCCATGCCACAGTGGTCAGAGCTAAGCTAGATGAAAGCCGTGGTCCTGAAACTCTCTCTGCGTCCTCCACATGGGTGAATGATACACAAGTGCTTCGGCCATCTCCCACTGTCTTCCCAGGATATTAGCAGGAAACTATATAGACAGTGGGGCAGTCAGGACTTGAATTTGCTGTCCTACATGGGTTGCTGTCATTGCAAGCATATGCTTATTACCCCACTGTACCACAACAATGGCCACTAGATTTAGGTTTCCAACCTAAACTGAGTCATGATGACATAGACAACCTAAATAGATCAATAACTATGATGGAGATTGATCAGTAAAAAAGACCCAGGAAGAAAATCTCAGGACCAGGTAGTTTCCCTATTGGCATTTTGCTTTTCAAAAAAACTAATTTCAATTCTATGCACACTATTCGAAACAACTGGAAGGGAATGAATCCTCCCAATTTCCTTTTATTAGGCTAGCATTGCCTGAATTCCAAAACCACAGATAGATACAACAAAGAGAACTTTAGGCCAATATCCCTGATAAATACAGATGTAAAAATTCACAACAAAATCTT